CCCGTCGCGGCCGGAGGACCGGGAGCTGCGGGATCGGGAGACAAGGGCGACCTCATCACTCTCTACAGCTACCTGAGAAAAGGGTGCAGTGAGGTGGGGTGAGTCTCTTCTCCCAAGTAGCAAGCAACAGGATGAGCTGCACTAGGGGAGACACAGCTCGAGTATTAGGAAAATTTCTTCACTGAAGGAATAGCAAGGGACAGCCAGCTGTGGTAGAAGTCACAGGAATAAAGGACAGCTTCTACTGGGCAAAGCTGTGTCTCAGCAGACTTCCAGTTACACTAGGGATACACTGTTTTGAGGCTGGAAATCTGGATGTCCTGATGTGTTTGGCGATTTCAGGATAAGCTTGGTAACAGGCATTTTAAAAAATGTTGATAACAATTGGGCGTTTCAGAACGAGGAGCTGGCAGAGTCAGCTGCAGACAACTTCCTGTACATCCTAGAGCTCCTTAAATTTCTGGTCAGAATGCAGTGTCTTTTGGTACTGTGATTTATAGTAAAGTATCTCCTGCTGCTGAAGAGGGAGAACAAAATCTTCTCTCTTGAGAGCCAAGCAAGGACCATCATTCCCTCCACATCCAGCAGCAGAGCAGGAATGCAGCCATTCTTGTCTACTCCTTGTCATCACCCCTCCTTGTCTACTCCAGTGTACAACAGTGGCCAGCTCAGGTTCCAGTCTCCTTCTTGTCTCTAGAGAGCACCTCTGTACTATGTCAGGAATTAAATCCTGTCTCCCACCGTGGCTGCTTGTAGCAGAATTCTATTATGCAGTGTGTGTTTTAGAAGGAAACTCCATGCTTAGTTATCCTAAAGGGCAAGGCACTTACCTCCAAAGCTGCAGGTCCCAATTCCTAGTGCTCTCTCTATCTTGGGAAGCCATCATGTCTTTGTGGTCTCTTCTGGAAAAAGCTGTCATTGGCACTGTATGCCAAGCACCTTAGAGAGGAGGGTGTGACAAGCCATGATCTGGGTTTGATGTGTTCAGGATAAGCATGGATACGAAGGCTAATCCTCAGTCTGAAAGAGTTGTATCAGAAGCAGAAGTTGGTGAACCTGGGGAGCTTTAATTTGGAAGCTTGTGGACATTTGTATTGTCAAAAACCTTCAGGATCAGTTAGCAGGAATCCTGCAGAACACATATCTGGATGTGGGCGTTTAAATACCCCCTAACCTTTCTGTTTGTCTGAGCAACAGTGACTTCAAATGTATTTTGAGATTATGGCTTCCCAAACATGCAGCAAAGGTTAAATGAAACTCTAGATTTTGCATTAACTGGAGTAGGCTTAATTGAAACATACCATGTTGATCTGAAAGATTTTTTTATCTTGATGGATTTTCTTCTAGAGGCTTTTATGCCCAGGCACTTAAGCAAAGTGGCCTACCCCATGCAATCAGTACTACTTCAAGGCTAAGCACAGTTAGCAAACAGAAAGGAAAAATTTAAGTTTTCAGCTTGGACTCGAAGTTATCTGACACCATGTTACTAAACAGTTTTTCCCACACTTCCCTCCTCTCTTCAGCAAAAACTAATTCCCAAACCAATCCCAAACTAGCTAATTCCAACTTCAACCAAAAACTAGGGAGGCTACTTGGAATGTGAATGGATATGAGGGGAAGCTTTTTTCTTCAAGCTGCAGCATCCTTGGCTCTTCTAGTGCCAGATGTACTTTCAAAAGCAGCATGTAAATTTGACCTTAGCCTGCTCTTTTGTAAACTGACACATTATAGTCATTACACAACTAAAGTAATTTCCCATTGCAAAAATACATGTTTACAAACACTTCCTATTTAAAGGCAAAAAGAAGGCTTAGCTAGAAAAGAAGTTGTTTAAGATCCCAGTGCATGACAAGGACATAGACAGTGGGACTGAGTGCAGCCACAGCAAGTTTGGCAATGACACCAAGCTGTGTGGTGTGGTGGACATGCTGGAGGGATGGATGCCATCCAAAGGGACCGTGACAGATTTGAGAGGTGGGCCCATGTGAACCTTATGAAGTTTAACAAGGTGCAAGATCCTGCAGCTGGGTCAGGGCAATCCCAGACAAGTACAGGCTGGGCAGCAAAGGGATTGAGAGTAGCCTTGAGAAGACCTGGGGATGTTGGTGGATGAGAAGCTTGATGTGACCCAGCAATGTGCACTTGCAGCCCAGAAAGCCAAGTGTGTCCTGGGCTGCATGAAAAGTGACACAAGAAGCAGGTAAATGGAGGTGATTCTGTCCCTCTACTCTGTTCTCCTAAGACCCCACCCTGAGTACTGTGTCCCCAACATGAGAAGGACATGGAACTGTTGGAGGGAGTCTAGAGGACAGCACAAAGATCATCAGAGTGCTGGGGCACCTCTCCTATGAAAACAAGCTGAGTTTGGGTTGTTCAGCCTGGAGAAGGCCCTGAAGAGGCCTTCTATCAGCCTCTCAGTATCAAAAAGGGCTACAGTGGAGATGAAGAGAGACTTTTTATAAGGGCATGTAGTGATAGAGAAAGGAAGAATGGCTTTAAATTTCCCATGCCTGGCAGCATTCAAGGCCAGGTTGGATGGACTTTGAGCCCCCTGCTAGGGTGACATTGAAAAGAGAGCTAGTCTGTAGGCACTGGTGTATTTGACCTAATTTTTAAACCAACGACAAAGTCCTCTGAAGCTTTGGCTAGAAGACAAGGTAGTATTTGCCTTCTGCCTTCTCTTAAACAATTTGTCAGCATGAGTTTATCATGTTTATTCATCTGGTATGCAGCAAATGCACCCTTTTTGAGCAGAGGCTGTAAGAAAAAACAGCTTGTAGATTTCTGCTGCTTTTAAGCACTTTTTTCCCGTGGAAACCCCTGTACAGCAGGACAAAAGAATGGCCAGTCTTCTGCAGGTGGCATCATCCCTACTCATCAGATCACAAAGTGTAAGTCTCTAGGAGAAATTCTTAAGTAATTTTTAAATTTATTTACATTGTAGAAATTCACCACAAAAGGTCAGAAGAAAGCATCTGCCAGAATCAGAAAAGGTCCCTTTTTGTACTTCATGGTTGATTTTTAATATGTGCAGAGATTTGGCATGTCTTCAGCACAAGAACTCGAGCTACTGATAACACTAACTACAAACAAATTCTTCTGGCTCATTGTTGTTTGGTTTGGTTTCATGGCCAGAGCATCTGTATACTCACAATATGAGAAAAATATCCCAACCGTCTGACAATTTGAATGTTCCTGGGCTAAAAACTTTGAAAACTTTTAAAACAGATTTGAGGCAATTTCATCCAGTTTCCTTTGTTCCTGCCCCTTGTCTGTTTGAAGGGCTCATTTTAAAACAGTCAAAAAGGGGGATGCTGCCCAAGAAACACCAGGTTTTTCTCAACTGTCTCACCTGGAAGTTGTGTGTCATTAGCTGTGCTGTAAGACAGAAACAGCTTCCAATTTACACATTCCCATGCTTGAAAACTTCCACAGAGCTCAGTGATTTTTGTTTTCATGCCACTGCCAGACAAAGATATTTGGATAAGATAAGAACTTTGAAAACCTCCCTGGAAGAATCTTAAGCGGTAAGAAGCCAAGCAGTGTAAGTGAGCAATGATTTTTACACGATGTAGTCCTTCAGTGTTAAAATTAAAGGCAGGCAAACCACCACGAGGGTGCAGTGGTGAGGCAGCCTTTGCTGGCAGTGGCAGAAAGCTTTAATTTGCTGCTCCTGTTCTAAGGGGTCAGATGATGATCTTTACATCGGCTCACTAAAGGAAATAATTTAAACATAATTAACTTGAGCTAACACTGAAACTCTTGGGAATGTGATGGTGTTCAAGGCAAGGGGAGGTTCAACTTGCTCTTTATCAGGGATGTGATATTACTGTTTGAATTAAGACAAGTCTTAATTAAACTTGACCTAAGTGAGAACACAGTTGGGTGAATAATATTACATTTGCTCAGACTGTAGTTTAGTGTACTTCTAGAGTGGAGAAGGACTAAACTATTGTTTTACTGAGGATTAATACTGAATTTTTTCATTATTATTAAATGATGTGCAACTTTTCCATTGCTTAAGCCTGGTTCTCATAGTCTTCTTTCAGTAATTGTTTTTTGGGAAAACTCATTATAAATCAACCTTCTCACCATTCAGTTTTGTTCTCTAACTAGCCATCAGTAAACAGGTTATTTTATGTTTGTCTTTTTAGGTGGATGTTCGTTGTGGGGGTTAATTATTTTTATTTAAGAAAACACACAGAAAACCCTAAAGCAGAAATCTCTACAGCAAGAATTTTGAGAAGAAACCTGGAAGTCAAGTACATTCACATAGGAAGAGACTGGTAGCTGAATGCAGTATTTTGAAAAACAATACTTGTGCCCTGGACTAAAGAACTAGAATATATTTTGGTAGTTCAAATGACACCTGTTTCCTTTAGACAAAAGGACTAAGCTAGATACTTTACCTGCTTCCAGCGTCTTTAGAGAACAGCCCTTGTTTCCACAAAACCAGACTAGTATTTTTGAACACTGTCTGATTTGACAAGTATGGGGAGAGGAGAGGAGGAAGTTTGTTTGTGTGCCTACCCCCAGAGGAAGCTGCTTGCAGCTTCAGAGAAGATACTGATTCCCTCCCCTTTTGCACTGTCTGCAACCTACAGCCCACCTGCAGCATCCACCTCCTCGGCTGTGAAATACAGATTGCACCAGGCATCTCCTCTGCAAGGTATTAAAAAAAAAAAAAAAAAAAAAAAAAAAAAAAAAAAAAAAAAACCAAAAAAAACCCCCAAAACAAGGGGTTT